CAAGTTATCGCGCAATTTAATCCAAGAGGTTCCGGACAGTCAAGAGGACGATTACAATTGTTATCTATACAAGTGTTACCAAATATTGCCAATAGACAAAGTATGGAATGGTAAAAAAGGCGAACTAAATAAATCCGAATTATATGTTTAGAAAGTGGTCACAGCTACCTGGTTTGCATGTGCCACGAAGTTTAGTCAAATGATTCAGCGAAACGTGGTGGGTAATAATTCTGCTATTTAATAAAAGGTCACGATATTTGTAGGATACCGAAAGGAAGAGGAGCAGTAAGGTACATAATTCATAAATGGTCACAATACTTGTAGGAGTATGTACAAGATGGATTGTGGCGAAAACGAAGTGAGGAGTCAGTTAAATAATGCATGTGTGGTCACAATATTTCTAGGAGTAAGAAAACAAGGCGAGGAATAAGTTAAACAATGCATAATTAGTCACAATAATTGTAGGAGTTAAAAACAAGGCGAGGATTAAACGAAATAATAGATAAACGGTCAGAATACTTGTAGGAGTAGTAACTAGAGGTTCTGTTTAGAAAGTTGTCACAGCTACCTGGTTTGCATGTGCACGAAGTTTAGTCAAATGATTCGAGCGAAAACGTTAGAAAGTGCTCACAGCTACCTGGTTTGCATGTGCCACGATGTTTAGTCAAATGATTCGAGCGAAAACGAAGCGAGGAATGATTCAAATAATAGATAAACGGTCACAATACTTCTAGGAGTATGTACCAAGATGCGGTGTGTTCCACAGATACAGCTTTGAAGCTGGATCGGTGTACCGATAGAGGTTTTGTTTAGAAAGGAGGCTCCCTTGGTAAAAATGTGCCCGAAGCCGTTCGGTACTGGTCATTTTTTGGTTTATTGGTGAAAATGTGCCCGAAGGCGTTCGGTACTGGTCATTTTTTGGTTTTGCCAGTTCATTCTTATTTGACTGGGAACTGGGAGGTTCCTCTCGGTTAAAGTGATCACAATATATTGCAGCTAGAAACATGCATTGCGAAAGAAAAGCCACTCCGAAGGTGGTGTCGCAATTTCGGGCGAATGAACGAAGAGGACTTGAAGCGAGATGCTCAAACCAGAGCATGGGAACAGAAGCGTCCATCGATCAAAGATGGAGGCTAATCCGCTACAAGCTATTATAGCTGACGGAGAGGCATTCTCCCTTGCATTCTCGGGGGTGTACCCACAAACCGCAGTGGTGGAAGCCGGCCATCAAACGCGCCATAGGGGAAAGGACTGATAGGTGGAATGCATTTGTTCTCTAAGGAGGACATGAACGATGGCTCCAATATAACAGGGCGAGAAACTATGCAAACAAGCTATTAAACCAGGCGAAAATGACCTTTGAGGTTAAAATCACCAAGAGAGCGCGCCAGAAACCCGAGGCACTATAGCTAAGTGCAATCGAAGGTCAATCGGTAGGCACTCTGGAGGTGGGCTGTCTGTCTCAGGTTGCGAAAAATGTGAGACGCTCAGGAGGTATTTCGAAACCGTCTATAAAATAGACGATGGGCGTGCGGTCTCTCGAGAGGTTTTAGTCACCCCTCCAATGAGTGATGTGGGAGTTTCAGTTAGTAGTATTCTTGGTGTCATGGAGGGCTTGAATGTAGACAAGTCCGATGGCAGCGACGGCTACATTCGGCCATCATCAAACCACTAGCTCCTGTGCTCGACCCTGCGATAACCGCATTCTACCAGGAGTCCCCTAGTGCTGGGAGAGTATCTGGTGATTTGGCGACTGCCACAGTGGTAGCCATCCACAAGAGTAGAGATAGGGAGCAACCTGGCAACTACAGTCCCGTAAGCCTGACCAGCGTGCTATGTAAGGGCTTAGAAACCATTGTTAGGAATGCTCTCTGTGAGCACGTCACTCAACATAGGTTGATTAGCCCTGCCCAGCACGGCTTTCTCAAAAATAGGTCGTGTCTGAGCAACCTTCTTTGTTTCTTAGCTGCCCAACACGGCTTTCTCAAAAAGAGGTCGTGTCTGAGCAACCTTCTTTGTTTCTTAGACGAAGTTACAAAGAGGTTAGATGGAGGTCAGAAAGTGGAAATGTGCTGCCTGGACTTCAGGAAAGCCTTCGACTCGGTAAATCACCGGCTCCTGCTAGTAAAACTCAGGGGTTCTGGTCTTCCAACAACTCTAGTTAGATAGATAGAAGCTTTCCTCANCCAGGAGCTAGCGGTTCCTGCCTTCATCTTTACCGACTACGTCAAACTAGTGAACTCAGGACCTGTAGATCAACTGGAGGGTGATCTGGCTAAGGTGGTCCGGTGGACACAGAAGTGGGACTTGGAGGTAAACGCCACCAAGTGTCACGTTTTTAATACTGTAGGGCTTCCGGTTTGCGTGGCTACGACCACTGAACCGACGGTCTTCGCTCGAGTAGACCGAATGCTGTATCTGGGAATTTTGGTCCGCGAGGACTTTAAGCCCGGTGCTCAATGCGTAGCCACCTCACAAAAAGCGAGGGAGCAATTGTTAAAGCATAAGGCGGCCCTTTCTTCAAGGAAGGCTGAGGTTTTCCTACCTCTATATAAGGTGATAGTTAGACCGCAGTTAGAACACTGCGTTCAGGCTTGGACGCCTTAATTGTTCAAGGATATCATTGTCAATGAGAGGGTTCAAAGGTTAGCTACTAGGATGATCGCGGGGATGAGAGGTAAGTCATATAGGGAGAGGTTAGAATCTCTAGGGCTTTTCTCCATGGAGAGGTGACGCCTGAGAGGCGACATTATTGAGACCTTCAAAATAATGAAGGGGCTGAGTGGGCTAGAAGCGGACAGCCTGTTTACCCGAGCACCGCTTGAGTCAACAAGGGGGCATCATCTGATGTTAATGAAGCCCAGAAACCGACTCAATCTTAGACAGAACTTCTTCACGAGTAGAGTGATAGATGAGTGGAACCAACTACCATCTATATTACTAGACTGTGGGACAGTCGAGGAGTTCAAAGGGCAATTAAATGAGGTCTGGATCAGCCTCTATCCCGAAATTTGGTAGAATGCCTACTATTGAGAGTGGCTGTGCCATGCTGCTTTTTCTCGAATAACCTCCCATTTCAGATACGGACCCCATAAGGGAGGCTGTTCCGAACGAAGAAATCGGCCGCGATCAAACGGTTGACAAGAAGTCAAAGCTCCGGAAGAACTTGGTTCCGGCTGGAGCAAGATTCTGAACGCTTGGTTGGCGAAAGCCTTTATTTTCCTGTGCCACCTGACCTGACCTGACCTACCTAGTATCCAAGCCTTCAAATGGGCTTTGGATAAGGGGTGGTTAGAACTTTTTCCGAACGAGGAGCACTGAACAAAATGCGACCGTTAGGTTCATAACTTTTTTGTATGCAATATCGAACGCATTCACATTGAAAGTCTCTCGCTGACACGGCGAGAAGTAAGGTTTCTCTTTCTCTCTGTTTGCAGATAGGCAAAGAAACCGATCAACTGAAGAGGTGGATGCACACTCGTGAGCACACCACCGAAGAAATTCTGGACAATTGATTGGCCTGTGGCCACTACCAGTCCTGTGTAACCTAACCTGACCTGACCTATCCTGATCTGAAATGAACTAAACGGCGGTAAATTTAAACTCTGTTACATGGCTCTTCATCAGATAATTGCCCGGATTTATGTTTTATTTATCTGGATGTAGTTTATTCTCAGTCTTCGAAAACACCAAGTGTTACCACGGAATACTTGAGCATTGTTTTTACACTGTGTTATTACGGATAATATTTTGAATGTGTCCACACTTTTATCCCGTTGTGCATACCATTATCGGAAATGAAAGCTCACTCCACAGTGTGCTTCAATAAATCAATGGAGCTCATTTTCTGCATAAATTGATCATAATGTCGAAGCGATTTGATTCATAGGACGCTCTGGATGCGTGGGAATCATCATCGCCTTATAGCTTAGGTTGGGCTGAATGTGATTCTCAAACGCCCTTTGATCTCAACCCTAGAGAAGTACTAGCCATTCAAAATTTACTGCCAGGCGCTGCTACAGACTGTGATTCCGGTTGAAATAAACCCATCGATCTTTCGGCCGCAAACGACCAAGTGAATCGGCGATTGGACGAATTAATGACTCAGGTAGCCGCACTAAAAATTTGCCTCGGTCGGCCGCGTTCCAGCTCGCGTTCCAGCTCTTGCTCTCTTTCCTCCTTCCCTTTCGCCATCCCATTGTCGACAAGGACATTCCAGGTTACAAAACATATCTTCTGACGCTTGCTGGTACCATCGCCAATATGGTGACGCAGCCCAAAGGTGCACAAAACCTTGTAGTTACAAGCCATCACAGCAGGGAAACGCCTAAACCGACCGGCCCAGGCGACGACCGTGTC